TTATTTAGCTAGTTTTGTAATTCTGGGCAAATTAATTCACATTTTGGGGATTATTTCAGCTCTAAAATAAGAAGGCTGGTTTCTTTATGATTTTTTTCATTTTTAAGATTCAATTATTCTTACAAGATTGAAATTTCTACACAGAGAGTCTCCAAATGAAATCCCTAAGGTAAGTCCCAGATGCTGAAAGTGATGCATTAAAACAAGTTCTATCAAGTACACTGAATATCAGAAGTATTTTATGCGACTTTTAAAATTGTCAATTTGTGGTTCTTAGTTAAATTTATATAGTTTCTTAAGTGTAATTTTACTTACATTTGTTTTTTATTAGCTAATCACACAGGTTTTTAAAAATTTTATAGCACTAGATACATTATTCCACACACACTACTCCTTTACTTCACAAATGAAGAAATTAAGGGTGACAGAGACTAAATGCCTAGCCCAATACGATCATTTCTGCACAGACAAAACTCAGATCAAATGTGTCTCGTGTGATTTTTTAAGGACAAAGTTTTCGAAATAAAGCACATGTGAACGGACACTGACGTAAATACGGAATTTTTTTCTGGAAGGATATACAACAAAAAAGCATTGCTTCCTTTAGGAAGAGGGCCTGGAGCGGATAGAGGTCATTTTTCTATATTTACCTTCTGTACCACTGAAAAATTTTCAACATGAACATCTGTTAACTCTGCTGTTTAAAAATTATGCTCTTAGGCTGGATTATGGGTTGTATTTTCTTTTCTTTTTCTATACTGAAGAAAAAAGGTAATGTTTGGCTTTTAAAATTTTCTTCTTTTTTAAATAAAATGCCTAGTGGTTTAACTGTTAATTCGGTTGCTTAGAGCACAAAGAACAAAGATTACAGGTTTGATTAACTACATTTTCAAGGAATAACATTTTTAACTTTAAAGTCATCTGGCAAACTCGTGCTGCTGATCACGAGGGTGAATCAGGTAAGAGCGTGTGGTTGACTCAATACAAAACCTTAACACTGGAAAATGACTTTAAGTAATGTCTTAGTGACAAACGGTTAGAGAACAGACAGCAGAGTTAGTCATCTCTAAGTAAATGTTTTAATTTTCATATCTATCAACTCACTGCACTCCTGAACAGAATATAAACAAGATCTTAACTGTAGGAGAAAATACAGTCCCTGTACTTTCAGAAAAGCTAAAAACTATACATGTCATAAATCTTACTATTTTTAAAATAATACATTTCTTATTAGTATACTATATAAACATTAAATAAAATACGTATATACCTGTAACATCTTCTGGATCTGATACAACAATATGCGCATTTAGTTCCTGTAGTTTGTGATGTAATTCTTCTAATTTTTTATTTGATTTTTTCAAAATGTTGTCCACGTACGCCAAACTTTTTTTATCTGTCGTGACTTTCCTCAGATTTTCAGCTCCTTCTTTGATTTTCAGTTCTTTTCTTATTTCTCTCTTAATTCGATCCTTGATATCATCCAATTTCTGTTGCACCATTGTATCTGAAAAGTCTAATTTTTGAACAGCACTCACATTCTCAGAAAATAGAGGACTTCGGGAATCTCCCTACAAAAAAAATAAACATACAAATGTGGGAGTTTAGGAAAGTTAGCTGCTCAGTAAAATACGCGTTATAATAATAAAACTGTACATAAAGCAATTCTTTAAAAACTCTGCCCACTCACTAAAAATCATTACCTGACAAATTTATATTACAATAAACACAATACATCTACACACAAAGACACTGTTGGTTTGTATAAATAGACAATGGATTTTTGATATTCTCCGAACCCAATTTAGATCCCAATACCCACACTGTGAATCTCAGGCAAGTTATCTGACCTTTCAAATACTCCATCTCATCATTTGTAAAATCTAAATAATAATATCAGCACTTTTCAGAGATAATGTGGTAATTCAAAATATTGTATGTATAAAGCTCCAAATACAATACTTGGCCCACGAAGTCACTTAACAAGTGAAAATTATTATTAAATTCCACAGGTGAGATAAAATTCTATTTTTTCTTGTGTAAGAAACCTCTTAAAAATAAATATTGGCAAAAAAAAAACCTGTATCTTAGGACCACTTTTTAGTGAGGAATTAGGGCTCAGGAAGACTATTTTCAGAATTCTATTTATATATTTCATGGCAAACTATCCCAACTGCTAATTTGGTTGACTCACTACATAAAAATCATCAGTAAAAAAATGTCTAAATTATGTCCCATTGATAGAACCTAAGACAATATTCATCTTAAAATGAAAATCAAATTAGGTAAGCACATCTAATGTACATTTAAAACAAGTAACGTTAAGTTCTAACTATTCGTGTATCTTTCACTGTTTTAAACTCCATTACTATAATACTATGAGTTTTTAAATTTTTAATTTCTGAAACACAAGAAACTAGAGTGAACTTTTACCTTGGTAAGAGGAATCGATTTTGTAAAGGACATAGAAAAGAGAAATTTATATTCCACCATGCACCCTTTATGTACCTTTTGAATCACAGATCTAATTAACTAAAAAGATTTTCTTTAATTTCTTTGTGAATTCATCATACCCATATAAATAAGTTCTGTTTAAATTCTTGGTGCAAACACTCTATACATCTAAATCTTAACCTCTGAAAAACATGGATTTTGCAAAGCAGTGAGTTAATAGATGGAAAGACAGGGAATCTAGTCTTGGCTTTAGTACCAGTTTATCCTGTGCCAACAGGCATACTATGCAAAAAATGAAGCAGCTGATGTATAAATTTCTCCTTAATCTTCTTAGGGCCAGGAACCCCTTTGAAACTCTGACAAAACCAAACCAAACCAAATCAGTAGAACAAAGAAAATTTCATGTTTGTATATACCATTTCCAGGTACCATGGACCTTAACTAAGAACTCCAGAAATAGGTGATCTACACCTATTGGCCTTAAATTCTCACCCATGTAGATATAGAATGATCTTCTATCTGGGCCAAAATAATGTCTACGCTTTTCACTATTTACAAGTCCTATCATCCATCTATTCAGTTTCCAAAGTTTAGAAATCCACCTTTGGCTGGTTATCAAAAACACTAGCACATATGACTATTGTCAAAAAATAGGCAAATTTTTGATGTCTAGCGTCAGATAAACTGAACTGAGGCAAACAATGCTTAAATGAAAAAAGTTTAAGCTAACCTCACTCGTCTAGATACTTTCATTTCTATCTTTATAGACTTAGAAAACATCAGATGAATCACTTTCACCAATTGGTACTTTAATATTTATGTACTAAGCCAGAACTTAATGTCTCCAATTTTTTCCTTATGCCTCACAGGCCAAAAGAAATACCTAACAATTCCATTTACTAAGTAGTAAGGTCCAAACAACCTAGTAATACTTACCACAACTCGGCAGCTGTCTGAAATATTACAAATTGAAATAAAAATTACATTTTTATTTCATTCTTTAATAACCATAGTTACTTGTTAATGGGATGTGTCTACCTATTGGGTACTTCACAGTTTCTCAGACTTTGAGATCAGACTGGATATTCATTCCCTTCTGCCTTCATTTCCTGTTCTGCCAGTGCTACAGAGATGTGGAATAACCTAATATTGCAACTTTATCGATTCTAGTTAGTTCACATGGTATCCAACAAATGGCGTCACTGTGTTTCCCTGAAATTTTAAAATGTAATGCAGCATCCTGAGAGTGGGCTGAGGCACCCCAAGAGATTTGCTGCAGAGTTTGAGAATTGTGGTACTAGTATTTAAAGAATGTTAAAACTAACAAACAAACCCCCCCCCAAAACTGTTACCCCTGGCTACTTCAACTCCCCCTTCTTTTCAATTTGCTTCCTGAATTGCAATCACATCAAATTACAGAAATTTACTGCCAGAGACAGTCTCTCTTGACTCAGCTACTATGCATGCTGCATCTTTGGGATGCACCACCTTTCCTTCTTTCTTTAATCATCTCTTCCTAGTCCCTTCTTTGCTTAGTTAACTTTTACTTTGTTTCAAAGTGTACTGCAATCTTTTTCCCCCCGGGAAAAGAATTTCCTGCCTCCGCCCTCTCTCAGAATTTAGATTAAATGCCTCTCCCCTGTGTGCTCTGATAATGCGGATCTTATTTAAACAATTATGCCTTTTCTTATCTGACAACTCCAAAGACTATGAGCAATTTGAGGGCAGGGCTTATGCCTGGCAGAATAGTTCTGTTTTGTTTTCTTAATGATTTGTCAATTACATTGTTTAATATTCTTCATTTAGAATTCAGGAAGAGCTATCACTGCTGAGAAAGCCATGTTTTCCTCTTTCTGATAAAGGTAACTCACACTCCAGGAAGCTCAAAGGGGAAAATGACATTAAATCGTAGCAACTATATTAGCTAGAGTTAGATATTAGATATAAACCATATGTGGTTAGCATGCTTGCTTCCTGGTTCTAAAAGGCCTGAATTTTTAGTAACCACATTTTTACTACCATCTTTAGTTGTGGCATGGCTCAAACACCTGCTGAAAAGGAGCAGGAGATACATACAACATTATCAATCATTTAAGATAAACAAATGCCCTCTGAGAGCAGAATGGAAAGGTTACAGTACTTTCTATTACTTCTTTCCCCAAAATTTTACTTTTAGTTGCAATAAACTGTGACGGCTACTGGAAAATACAATTCTCTTGCATTTGGAACAAATGAAATAAACTTTTTTTTTTCTGGGGGTGGTTAGTCTTTTTAAAATTTTAATTAATTAATTTCCTTATTTCCTTCCTTCCTTCCTTCCTTCCTTCCTTCCTTCTTTCTTTCTTTCTTTCTTTCTTTCTTTCTTTCTTTCTTTCTTTCTTTGTTTCTTTCTTTTCTTTTCTTTCCTTCTTTCTTTCCTTCTTTCTTTCTTTGGAGGTACTGAGGATTGAACCCAGGATCTCGTGCGCGCTAAGCATGTGCTGTCTCACTGAGCTATTACCCAGGGAACAAATGAAATGATATTCCATCTATTAAATTATGTCTCTACTCTAAAAAAAAAATAAAAACAATTTATATCATAAATGCCAGGAATCAACAGTAGGCAATGTAATAATGTTCTTGACACGGGTAAAAGAAATTAGCCTCAGGAACATTAACAGCTATTTAACCAGTGAAAATCTTCAGTGATAGTCTTTTCCTCAGTAGTTTCCATTACAGGAAGTAACATATTAATTTATGTTTACAAGCTTCACAATTTCATCCACCATTCAACTTCTTGTACTCTATAATAAAGTTCACACCTCCCCCAAAAGTAAACAGTAGATACCTTTACTCATCTTTTCAAAACGAAGCAAAGTTAGATCCAACCGCTAAGCACAAACTCCCTTTTAAATTCATTAATGTGCTCAGAAAGGAAATAAAAAAATAATCTAAACGCAAAACTGAACTCCTAATAGTATTCATGACCCTCCACCAATTATCTGTAAATAAAAGGAACCTCATAATTCTCATACCTTTTATTTCTGAAATCAGCAAACTTAGCCACTTGATTTTAGTCAAGTACTCTAACAGTTTGTTGTTATGTTCTCTATCTTTCTTACGCCCTGTTCCTTTCACTATCAGTCTAAATCCACCATCATAAAATACTTGTTCAAAAACTATTTCAAGACTTTCATGATTAATCCTACCTATTTTATAGCAGTGTACTTTAAATTTTGTATCATCCATAGCCTTAATGCAGTCATTTAAATCAGATGGGTCAAATCCAAACACAAGGAAATCATTAGTGAAACTAATATTCTCAGGATTTATAGCAGTATAATCAAAATGATTTTTAGGTAAGCAGATTTAAAGTGGCTAAATAAATAAAAGAAGGAATAGACTTCAATAAGTAAGAAACAAACAGTAAAAAATTAGATGAAGTTCAAAGTTTAATTTCAAAATAAATTAAAAACTCAGTGGATAGGTTAAATAGCAGATTAGACCAAGAAAATGAATTAGTACCTTGGCAGACAGATAACCCAGAATTCATCAGGCAGAAATATGAGAAATTAAAAGGCATGTAAGATAAAATGAGGAGACCCAAGATCTACCTCGTAGGAGCTCCAGAATAAGAGAATAAAGACAACAGGGGAGAAGCATGAAGAGATAAATGGGTGAGAATATTCCAGAACTGAAGAATGATATAAAGTCTTAGACTTGAAAGTCACACCAAGTTGCAAAAAGATAGATGAAAAATAACAACAACAAAAGTAGATAGAAAAGGCATCTTATCTACAAATGAACGGTAATCAGATCAACAGAAGGCTATTCTTTAGTAACAAAAGAGGCCTCAAACTTCCACAGGATTTTCAGCCTTTATTTTAAGGTCCTCATATATTGCTAAGACTTTCTCTAAAATTAAAAAACAAACAAACAAAAACTGCTACAAAATATTAACATTCTTGGGAAAATTACAGATGAAACCCAGTGTCCATGTTATACTTATATCGGTCCTCTGTTCACTAAGCACATATGTGTTAATTTCTATTAAAGAAAAAAATTGTGCTATGGTAGGAACGGCTGTACCACTTTTACCTACCAAACTGACAAAGATTTTTCTAATCATAATGTTGGCAACAATCCAGCTGTAAGCTATTAAGACTTTATAAAATTTGGAAATACCTCATGAGAAACTTTCAAATAGTGCTTCCCTTTGACTCAGTAATTCTAATTCTAGAAATATAAACCAAGAAAATGATTAGAAATTACTACTATACAGAATCATAAATTCAATAATTTTAAAGTAATCAATAATATGTGCTCGGCAGAGAGGAGACTCCCTTACAAAGCTTGCAAGTAGCAGGGATTTACACCAACGTATAGAAAAGACAAAGTTCGGGATGCTAAATATCATAACAAAATAATTTCAATCTTTCAGTCTAAAGAATAAGGATAGGCTTCTTTTATTATGCCTTTTATTATTTCACAGCAATATGTCCAGCTCGACATAGTTGCTACTATGGACACACAGTTTTATTTCAAATAATGTTTAAAGTAAGAATGTAAAAAAGACTGGATGGGAAGAGATTAAAATATTGACAATAATTATCTCTGGGTAAAAAAAATGAAGAGGGATTTTCATTTTGTTCTTCAAAGTTTTCCTTCTCAATTTTTTAAAGCAACGAATATATGCTGCCTGTCTAATAAAGAGGAAAATACACTTTTTATAAAGACATCAAAAGGAACTTTCACTTTATTTCAATCTTGGCAAATGTAAAAACTCACAAGGATTATCTTATACTCTACATTGTATCTGCTATTTACTGAACTAGGTTGTATCGAGTCTATTCAATTCTATTGCAAGGGATGAGACTATACACATTCCACTCTAATTAGACCACATTATGTCCCAATCAAGGGTTTTTAAATACACAAGTATGTTAATATGTATTTGATAATTACAACTGTCTTAAATTTTATATAATAATGAAATTCTGATCTGCAGATTAAAACATAAAATGACATTTTAAACTTACTACTTTCAACAAACTCACAGTGCAGTTTGAGAAAAAAACCACTAAAATAAGAACAGGATCAGATTCCAAGAACAAAATGAAGAAAAAATTGGTCACTTATAACCAAGTACTTCATTTAGGGAGAGATAGGAAAGGATGTTTACTTCTCACTGGCCAAGTTCCCAGAGAAGAAGTGAAAAAGCTGTTAAACTTTCTCTGTATTATAGAAATACAAAACAGTCTGACCTGACAGATGCCAAGAGTGTTAGAGCCCATAAAAACTCACTGGATGTGATTCACGTATCGCTTAGCTAGAAGGCGTTTCTGAGGTTACCTAGTCTAATTCCCCTGATTTCAGTTTTGAGGAAAGCAGGTTCAAAGCAGCTGTGCAACGTGCCTCAGGCCACAAAGAAGTCAGTGACCCCGTCTCCTGACCCTCAGCTTGGGGCTCTTTCACTCACACTGCCTTTTCAGAGGAGTGTCCATTTCCCTTTATTTGAACTGCATCTTTACCGAGTTGATTTGCATTAATTAATGGGTATTCTGTGCCTTACTTCAGGGATACTGGGAGGACATATTTCCCCTTATTCTCTAATATCTCCCTAATCCAACCTTCTGGGGTCTCAGGGGAGAATGCTCCATCAGAAAGCAAGAAACCAGTTCTAACATCAGCTCTTGTCACTCGCTATGCCCCTCAAGCATGTTATCCCATCTATGTACCTGTTGGCCAATCTGTAAAATTATGTTTGGCTTTCCCATCTTTTAATTTTTAAAAAAACTTCATTTATTCAAAACATTCAGTGAATGCTATGCAATGGAAGTGGTACAATCTTGCTTTCTTTCAGGTATCTGATGTATTAAGGAAGATACACATGAAATCCAAACAAAACCTGAAGCAGCAGCAAAGCTTTACACATACGTAGGCTATTCTGTGTGTGTAAGAGAGAGAGAGTGTGTGTGTGTGTTTGTGTGTGTCTTTTAACAGAAGGCTCATTAGAATGTAGTATGATGGGAAGAAGTAAGTATTTGGAGTCAGTCAGATTGGCCATGTTAAGCC